GTGGAGCCACTGGTGGGTTCAAACTGCTGACCTTTCAGTTAGCAGCTGAGCACTTAACCACTGCACCACTAGGGCTCTAGAACACTTTTTCCCATTATACTGGATGCCTGTGGCTGAATGAGGTCATGGTCACATGTGAGAAGCATATAAGAAAGGAAAGAGTATTAATATTTTTTAAAAACATCATTTCCGTTGTCTAGTATATCAGTTGTAGATGGTTGTGTTCTATGTGGGTATTAATTGTTGAGATTTCTATTGTTCTTTTGTAGAGAGCCGCTTTTGCGCATTTTCCTGAACTCTATGATTTTGCCCTCTCAAATGTGGCAGAGGTGGATACTCGGGAATCCTTGGTCAAGTGTTTCGGACCTCTTAGGTAAGACAACACGAGGGGAAACCTGTTCTCTTTTGGTGTCCTGCTCCCTGAGTTTTGATTGTCTTTGTTGCTTTTGATTACTGTTATAATTAATTACGCTACTTTCGGTAGTGCTGATGTACCACGTCTAGGATTAGAGCTTCTCTCTGGCAGTTGGGTATCTTTGAGTCACTTGAGTATAATTATCCATCTTTTCTTTTCTGTAAAATTTGTGTTTTTTACAACTGACTTAGTTTTGCTAGATCTTACATTTTTCTTAGAGTAGAACACAAAACCGGAATCCTGTCAGTCCTAAACACAACACTGCACAAATCAATGAATGTTCATTACCTGTGATGTTAGAGGTGTGGCTTAAGGACATTTTTCATGTTCATAATTGATGAAATCAGTAATATTCTCTGGTGCATAGCTATCTGTTAATATACTTTTTAAAAAACAGTAGCAATAAACATTTACTATGTGATAGGCATTCTGCTAAGTATGTAAATAATTTAATTCTCAAAACATTCTTGTGAGGAATAGGTACCATTTTACATATAAAGAAGCTGAGGCACGGAATAGTTAAGTCCTTTGCCTAGTTCACACAGCGGGTAAGTGGCAGAGACGAGCTTTAAACCTAGGTTGTCTGGTTTCTGAGGCTCAGATTTTCACCACTGTGCTCTGTTAACTGGTAGGAGAAATTACGTTCAGTTCATTGGCCATTTAAAATGAAACAGACCGGTTGGTTTGGTTGTTCATTTTGATACGAGGATTTAATAACTTTTAATAACACACGGAGCCCTGGTGGCACACGGGTTAAGAGCTACGGCTGCTAACCAAAAGGTCGGCAGTTCGAATCCGCCAGCCACTCCTTGGAAACCTGGGGCGGTTCTACCCTGTCCTGTAGGGTCACTATGAGTTGTAATCGACTTGACGGCAACAAGTTTGTTGTTTTTTTTGTTTTTGTTTTCTAGTAATAACAAGAAGATCTATTTCGTTTTATTTACCAGCTGCTTAGAATTCCATTGAACGGGACTCCCATACTATTTTTTAATCACTCTCCCTATTGATGGATCTTTTAACTTTTAAATATTTTGCTATTGCAAACGATCTGCAACAAGTATCCTTTTTGTTTT